TGTGGCCATAAGAGCCCATAAAAAAGGCATGCTGCGCTACGATGCGCAGGAGTTGTGGAATAAGTGTGTGACAAAACCGAGTAATAGGACCAATATAAAAAATTGAGTAAAGTTAAACAGGTAATTAAATGTGAACCTAATGGTGCTGACTGCCAGAAAACAGGGGTAATGAGCGATGCTGGACTCTATAAAACACCGGAATTTCAACCAAATGTGGTGATGTTTTGAAAGCATCACACTCCATACAAAACATTATTTCCGACGATGAGCACGTGTTCCGTCTCGTTCAAAGGCTTCGATGTGCCAGTAATGACAGCGCCGCCAAGCTTTACAGTGTGAATGAATAAAGTACCATACATGTATCAAAAAAGACTGGAAGTCTGATAGTGTATTTATTTTGCCAAGCCTTGACGAGGACAAGAGAACAGGATTCTGATTGGACGGTTATTATTGCTGAATGGGAACAAAAAGTCATTACACCCAAAAAACGCATTGAAATGGAAATGAGTCTTTTATTGAGAAATGGACGAGTGAAAGAGTCACAACGTAAGCACCCAATTTTAAGAAGAACCCTTAATTTTGGCTGATCTTATTCCACAGCACCAAAACGCAGAAAAAATCCACCGCCCTAAGCAACAGCACACCAGCGTGATGCAAAAGAACTGCATTTTTGATACCGCTTACTTAACTTTTAGTTATTTAAAAAACTGTGAATTTATACGTGGGTGTGGAAACTTCATTTAAGGCGAAGGCTGTCCCAAAAGCGTGGCTACAATTTCATAAGCAGACACACTACGAACACCAGTGCTACGCTTTGGATTTGGAGGAAAGGGAACTAGTATTGGTGAACAGGAAGTTCGGCACGATTACCGATTTCTAAGCTTACTGTAGACCAAAATTTACTTTCACAAAACAACCCTCGAAGTGGGAGAATTGGGCTCTGTGGAGCAATTGACACCTGCCTATTGTACTGTTGACCCTTTCAGATGAAATTTGGTAAGAAAAGAGCGTTCGATTTATGCAAGCAAAAACCCCATAGGGTTCAACGAGCTGGAAGCTCCGGGATGCAAACAAAAGTGGCACCATATTTTCTCAAATTGGTTTAACTTTCTACACTATTTGAGGGTAGGCTGCGTGACAGAGAGAAGTGTGAAATCAGCTGTTAAAAATGAGGACATTTAGGAACTAAATATCTCAAGTTACGACATCCAATCCAACTGTTAATTTCACCAACACAATGCATCACTTCTGAGTCGGGAGAACACGATGCTCTGGTACGAGCATAATAATCGTGTGCAGGAACTTTACCATATGCGCAGGTACTCTGGAAATGCCACAAATGTCCAGCTTCGGTAAAAAGGAAGCTGCTAATCCAAGGCCAAAAGCATATAAAGATTAAGGCCAACGGAGCCCCAATGGCATTCACAGCCTTCGGATTGTACCATGGAAGTTTGGAAATTGGGGGTGGAATAACCTTACAAAAAGTGTGACTGCATAATCTGATCACTGTAGAGTAATAGTCCTACGTTGAGTTTAGTTAAGTAGTGGGGCTTGTTTCACGACAATGCAGTAAAAGTACCGCCTACACCGCTACAGCACAGCTATTCTGGGAATTTTTGTCCGAGATTCTACAACCACTCGCGATGCTTAATGTATAGGTGTCAAAACGGGTCATTAGATCATAAATACCAACCTTCGGATCACATAGGAGTGGTTAACCGCATCATATCTATGGGTTGATAGATGTTATGGGAATTTGAAGCGTTAAGTAATATTTAAGCTTAGTGGAATCAGAAATGTCTATTGCAAGGCCGAGTTAAAAGTTTGCAATATCCACAAGTGCCATTAATTTAGCACCAGAAGCGACTGGTAGGTATGCAAAACCGTAGAGTTTTTACCCGAACCAGTCGGTTCTGAGCGTAAATGCGCCGAGTCGTATGTGCCTGCGTATGTGCGTAACTGGCCAGTTGGTAGTTGCAGTAGCAACACTAGCATTGTGCCCATAAACGATCGTACGCGTGGCATAAAACTTGCAAGCTGGTCGAGATAGTCCAACCAGCCAGCGAGACCACTCGCAAAACTAATTCATTTTTGCCAGAAAGGGAGCCAGTGAGTGAGAACGAAGCGGCCCCACGCGAATAAAGATCAAACGACTTCGCTTGCGCACACAAACTACACTTTGTGTGGGTAGGCGGGTGGTGATAGCCATAGTCATAAACCTGTCAGGAAATAAATCGGCCCTGCCCATCAGTAACCCGCGCACGAGAGCGCACAGGAAGCACTGAGAGAGCACACCCGCAGCTACGACTGAGCTAGTGAGATGGAGAAGGCGAAAGAGCGCACTTACTGGGCCGACGATAGCGTGAGGCGGCAGCACTGGGTGGAGAGCGGTTGCTACTACCGCCACCACTGCGACCAGTGGCAGCAGCAGGGCGGGCAGAAAACGGGCTACCGGCGGTGGCGCGGGAGGAGCGCGGAGGCGGTGAGGGTGAACGGCCACGTTGGCGACGCGTGCGGTCACCATCGACACCACGGTGATGACGATCGCCACCGCCACCGTCGCGTGAGCGTAGCACTACATCCTCGTGACCGGAACGCCGACTTCTACGGCGTGATGAAGGGACAAAACAGAAAGGTGAGCGAGCCTGCAGTACAGTCAGTACAATTTTATGAATGCTTTACGCTCGTTAATTTGACTGCACAGTCTTTCTCAGCATCCCAAGGCCTCAGCATGTAGCTCCAGCAGCTACCAGCCACCAGCTCCCCTTAACATCGCTAAGTACAGCTAAATTCAAAACTGCAAAGTCAAGTGCGAGGGCCATTATATCAAGGCTAAAATGTAGCAGATCAGTCCCTCGTAAAGGTGCCTCAACGGCTATGTCAACAGAATCTGCGAAAACTGGCAGTCCATAAGGTGACTTCATAACTAAAGCAAATGTGGTTCTACTAAGGCGCTTTCTGATCATATTGGGTTAAAATTCTGACTTCTGTCTCACCAAACAGCAAGCCTTCATATTTAAAATTTTCCAGCTTTGACAAGGACGACTACAACGCTCGACGGTAATAATGGTCTCACAAATTCGCAGGTTTTGAGTATGGATGATAACAACTAGCCCATATCGTACCTGGTGAAGAAGTTTAACATACAATCAACACACTTAACTCGATAGGATTCGAACTTTCAGTCGCCCACTCAAGCAGTAATAGAGTCAGGGCCATGATCCATTCTCTCGATACCAAAAAAGCAACTAGGTTCATTTGAGACCAGAAAACGTGGTTATCGGAAACTAGAGGCAAGGCAAGCGTAAATTTTATTAGGAAACAGACGCTTATGGTTTTGCACGAGGTGTGGTGGTGGATGCCGTGACTAGTCAAGAAGCGTGACGCAAAGCATAATTTATGAAGTACACCTAAAGACGAATCTCAATCCGTCAATGAAACTGACCAGTCGATACAAACTTATCAACCAGTCAATGTTACTCACTAGGAAGCTCCTAAGTAACCTGGAGTGCAAATCCAGTTAGTAGTTTATGCTTGAAAATGAGAGTACTCAAGTTTAAAAGGGCAATTATTAGAAATATCAAGAGATGTAGATAAACGAAGATCAGATAAACTGATAGAGGCATATCTAGCACGACAAAAACTAGATGAGTTCTGCAGTATCTCCCAAATCACTAGGGAAATGGTAATATATATTACGTTGACGGGGAGGTCTGGTGGTGACGACGCCTGCTTTCGCGAGAGCCGAGAGGCGAGAGTTGTCTGCCCGAGCGCGAAGTGGGATGCTGTGTTGGCGGTGGAGGTAGAACCTCAGTCACGTTCACCTCCTGACCGTCTATCTGGCCCCCGTTCATGTAGTTCACGGCGTCAGAGGCTGCCTGCGAGCTGGTGAAATCTATATAAGCGAAGCCTCGATGGAATTCGGGATGCATATGGTCTGAGGGCATCTCCACTGACTTCACCTGGCCCCATGTTGAGAAAATCTCCGATATGTGAGCCTGAACATAGGAGGTCGAATGTAATGTACAAGGGCCACATAGAAACCACTGATAGCCCTTATGGTCAGAATCTCGGTGAAAACGGCCGGAATTTAAAACGTTGTTGTATCGTAGGCTCAAAACAACAACAAGAAGCCCAAAACGTGAGTGAATTGCGATTAGTGAACACGCGACTTGTTCAACAATTTCGTTAGAGAGGGGTTAATCCATAGGACCTACACATGAAGGCTACAAATTTGAAACTACTTAAGAAATATCATTCTTTGTCAAATAAATAACTAGTAGACAAAAACAACAACAACAACAGTTCAGAAAAGATAGTGATGCTAAATCTCAAATGGATCACATAGTATATCTCAATCTTTATTCCTGTGAAAATAACCTGGCTGCTCCGAGCAGCATTAACTACCCGCTACACCACACCTACCTGAGTAACATTTCTAGAGAGCTTCGTAACCATTACACGGGTGAATTCGGGCAAAGAAAGGCCAGCCAATTTTAACTGGCTCTCTTCTCTTTCCCTTGACGCCTCCGCCTCCGTCAGCCTCTTGGCCTCCTTAGCGCCTAGCAGTTTCTCCCCTTCCTTTGCCGTCTCTTTCCTTACCTCCGCATCATGATGTTGCTGTGGCTGCTTTTCAATAACAATGTTGGACTCCCGACTCTCTTGTTTCCCTGCCTTGTTATTGACGGCCGTTTGAGTCGTCTCCTTTTGTTCCACAGCCTCTGTTGAGATCTTCTTAGACGCCTCTTCAGTAGAAGGTTTCTCTGGTGGTGGCTTGGTATCAGCCGTGATGGTTGTCAACTTTTCTTCACTGACTCGCTTTGTTGACTCCGAAGAACGGTCTAGAATTAACATTTCAAGACCTAGTTCCAATAGTACCAGCAGTAATATGCATAGCATAAGCCGACCGAGATCTCCCCACACCACAATCAAATCAGTCGAATTGCAAGATCATTTTAGTAAATGACAAACGCCAGAAAGGGCTGGTTATCAATCAGAAGCACATCGATTGCTTTTCAGGTATTACATTCATGAGTCTGCTCTCTTACGAAAAAACAGTAGGAATGGATAAACTTACGAGGCGAAGAGGGTTTCGTAAAACCCGTCACCTTATCCTCCTTAGTACGAGACGATGAACCCTCGGACGTACTCGTCTTCTTTTCCGGAAGGCGGCCTACCAGGAAGCATGTGATGAATGCACCACTGAGAATAGACAAATTCTATTACCATCCATGGTCACTTACGAGGTGACTGAGATCTTTTCCGAGAGGCAACCTTGTCTTCAGAAGCTCGAGATGCACCCCCAGTATCACCACCACCAACGGACTTCTTCTCAGATGCACGACCTTATAAAATTGACGGAACACTTGACTTAACCGTAGTTAGAGCCGATAGGCAGCCATAGAAAGACAGCACCTTTCATAATTAGTAAATGCATGCCATACAACTGAAGTGACTAGTAAGTTTAAAAATATAGCCAAGGGAATTAACATTATTTCTGCAGCACATTTGGTGACAATGGCAATGGTGCTGTGGATGAGTCATAATGTAATGCCTTCAATAATACGATCGCAGTCCGAACCAAAGAGGTCACCCTCCTATGGCAAAGAATTCTATTGGGATTTCAATCACCTAAAAAAGCCAATCCTGCACACGGGACTTGGACTGAATTTTCATCACATGCATGATTATTTTTGTGGCGATGTTTTTGAAAAGCTCGAGACCTCTAGCTTTACGAATATCACTCGTTTAAATCGAATTGACCTCCGTTGAAACTGATAAGGAGTCTCACAAACTCGACGGTTGAGTGCTTCAGACAATTCAAGAGAAGTCAGCATTACTGAGTACTTGGTATCACAACTTTGATAATCTTACGAGGTGATGGTGAGGCCCTTCTACCAATGTATTTTTCATCCCTGCCGCGGGAACTGACGCGCGTTCTACTCGCTTTGGAGCCTAAAAGAGATAACCAAACAGCGAACGTAAGAGCAATCATAACTACGAATGCGGACCAGAACCCCGCAGGCAACCCACGTGGAGACGGTGATCTTCTGTTAGAACGTGTTCTCTCACCACGTCCGTTCCTTCCGGGACGGGTATCTGGAAGGAGTAACAAAGAATTCGGTAGACTTGTCATCAACCGCCGCAGGATGCATGAAATGAGTCCAATAGGTCAACACTAAATACTATCGCTGGCTTACGAGAGGATAGAGACCTTTTCCTTGGTGCATCCTTCTCATCTCTAGACTTGGCTGCGACTACTTCCTTTTTCTTCGTTCTGCTATCCGAAGGTCTACCTAGAAGCAAGTAGACAAAATAAACTTAAGTCTCGAACTATGTTGCCTGATCCTTCTTGATCAGTGAATTGCAATCAGAAGGGCAATCAAAATGAATTCCTGACGCAAGGTCATAAAATGAAATTTGTGATTTATTTCTATGTGGCAGATACCCAATAATAATCAAAAAAAGTTAAACATACCCCGCTTTTGCGAAGCAGCACGAAGAGGACCAGAACTTCGACTGCTGCTGCTTCTGCTACTGGAACTGCTTCCACTAGAGCTGCTCCCACTGCTGGAACTACTCCCCGTTGAGGTACTCCGTGAATCTGAAGAGCTGGAACCGGAAGACGACGATGAACCCGATGAGGATGATGCAGAATGCGAGCGACGGGAGCGTTTCGCAACACCACCACCGCTTTTTATCGGCGAAAGCCTGTGTTTGTCCCTCTCTCCTGATCGCTTTTGCACCCGACCCTCTCGACTACTCCTCTTCTCGACAACTGGCATCTAGCTGGAAAAGGAAGGAGGAATAGGCCATTTACACATCCATCCAACCCCCAATCAGTGCCTAGGCAATATGGACTTTGTGCGTAGCGAAATCCACAATAATAAATGGAGACGACGGTAGTCTCGACCCATAAGACAATCGGTCAAAAGTTATGGCCCAGAACTACTTCACTTCGACTCAATGCTAGCAAATCCCCGGAACTGCTCTGGTCGTTCCCGAGACTACGACCAATAGCAGCCCAGCTAAAGTACTGCTATTTCAATCACAACGACAAATCTTGTTTTAACTACTATTCCTTCAGCATAATGCCCATCCGGTAAATGATTAGCACTTAATTTACTGAGAGATTAGGCATTTAATTGTGGCTAAATTTCGTGCGCTTACACAACAAATATCACAAACATACAATGCAAGCAAAAGCCAGCTCAGAATTCACAACATGACTGCGAGCATGTGT